CCAATTTGACGCCACGATTGGAGATGCTCTTATGGGGTTTATATATATTTTGTATTGATTGTAGAATTCCACACTATGTGACAGCCCATAGGGTAGCAGCCGCTACTTTTCACAGGTGTGGCAAGACTTGTTTCTAATGAAACTTTTTTGATTTACAAGGCATCACAGGAGTTAAGCGTGATTTGAAATACCAAACAGTGGAGCTATGGACGGAGTCCATCACAGTACTCTTTGACCCATATAGCAGTAGTATTTGGCCCATATAGAAATCCACTTATTGCCTTCTGAGCAGGCTGCCTTGTAGTTTTAAGTAATTTGTGGGAAGATATGTTTGTAATGAAACTTTTTTGATTTATGAGGAATCTCTGGGATTAAGCCTGATTTGGAAATATACATGATTGGGCGGGAAATGGTAGCAGGTTTTATAGACCTTTGCTCACACACAAAGACCCACTTAGTGCCTTCTGAGTAGGCAAAATCGTAAATCTGGGTGATTTGCAGGGAGACATGTTTCCAACAAATCTTTTTTGAGTTACAAGGCATCTCATGAGTTAAGCCTAATTTGGAATACCAAATACTTGAGAAATACTTGAGCTATGAAAGAAGTCCGTCACAGTAGTCCTTGTCCTACATAAACATCCATCCTTTGCAGGAAGATATGTTTCAGATGATATTTTTTTATGAGTCAAGCCTGATTTGAATTGATACACAGTTGGGTTATGAAACAACCACATCACATGAGTTCCTGACCCACACAAAGATCCACTTATTGGCTTTTGAGGATGCTAGATGGTAATTCTGGGTGTTTTGTTGATATTCAAGTGGTCACTTTCATTTTATTCCTTGGCCCACATGTAAATCCCTATATTGCCTTCCAAACAGGAAAAATAGTAACTCTCAAGAGGTTTGTGGAAAGAAATGTTCTCAATGAAACTTTTTTAAGTTACAAGACAGCTCAAAATAAGACACTGATTCAGAACACTGCATAATTGGGGGTCAAATGGTAGCTTTTGGTTCAGACCTGGGCCCACATATAAATCCACTTATTGCCTTCTGAGCAGGCAAAATGCTAACTCTTGAGAGGTTTGCGGAAAGCAATGTTCTCAATAAAAAAACAATTTACAAGACAACTCATAACTAGACACTGATTTAGAACACTACATAGTTGGGCTTCAAATGGTGGCTTTTGGTTCAGACCTTGGCCAACATATAGGTCCACTTATGCCCTCATAAGTGCAATCTGACTGTTCTTTTGAGGGAAGATTGCGTATTAATTTTTTTTGTTTCTTCAGTAACACCAAAATTAAACATTGCTCCATGATGTTATAGGATATACCTATCAATTAAGCTAGAAAATTATATATTTTAGCTTAAGTGGTCACTCACTCCACCAAAATCCTCACCTACTTCGCATACCTCATCATCGCAATGGTATGTCCATCACCAGAAGTGAATGAGTTTTGTTTTGTCTACATATCTAACTGTATCTTGTAGACAAAACATCATACAAATAAAACCCTTGCTTGGCGCGCCTCACAACCAAATGATATACTTCCACATGAGAATGAATATGGGCATAACAGTTATTCAAGTTATTCCTGTGTGCACAATATGATGGCACATGTGGACTTTTCAGATGAACAGTGAATATTTCACCTGGTCTATCTGATTGCACCAGAAAGAACCATAAACATCTTGCTCATATGTGGATGGAAATCATTCCAAACTTTTCAAGTCAAGGCTAGAGACATCATGACCTGTGCAGTCATCGGTCGGATCTGCCTAATGTTTGCCATTCATTTTCAACCGCCAAAGAATTTCAAATGATGACATCATTTCCTTTTCTTTACGGTTGAACTGCTGTAGTTTCCTTAGCTTAGAAATAACAGGGGTGGCTGGTTGTTCTTATCATGATTACATCCCTTGCTTATAAAAATAAAGGATTACGTTGGTCCTTTTTGATTAAATCAATTCCTGCTTTCTAGATTTCAAGATATGCCTCTTCCTGGCTCACTCATTCCTAATCCCAACAAACGCCAAAGACATGTAAATGAACCTCGCAGACCTGCACCAGGTAGTGTTGCTGAACGTCTGGCTCAGCTTCAACAACGCGAAGCAGAGGCTTCACAGGGTAGGATCGCACGTCTAGATGATACACGCATCCAGAACAATCCTCCACATCAACACCACTACAACAACGATGATGGTTCTGATAACGAGCAGCCACAAGCTCTGTATGACCACTTTCAGATGAATGCCGAGAACGACGATATCGCTCCGGTTAACGATGGTCTTGAAATTCATCCACCAGGCGTACGATCTGCTTATTTCAAGAGTGTATCGTTCCAGGAGCGCACCCTGACAGAGGAATTGCACTGGAAGGAGGTCATTCCAGACCTCTTTAATGCGTTTATGGTCTGTTCTCTCAAGACCCGTCAATGGGGGGATGAAAACAAGTGGGACCACGACTTCAACTCACTGTGTGAATGCCCTCATTGGAAGCGAAGCGTAGTCGAAGTTGATGTGGTCGATTTAACAAGTAAGTCCAACCAATAATAGTGACAAGCTCACCAACATTGATATTTTTATGATATGTACACAGGTCGGAAAAAGATATCTCTAGAAACATGCAAGTGTAGATCCGACATTGTTAGATTGGTTATGAAAGGATACATAGGTGGGCAACCCGTACGACCTCGCACAGCCTTCTCCATTAGACTGCTGGCCTTTCATCACATCATCTGGAAGCACTGCACCGTTCGGCTTGCCCCTTTTGTAGAAGCTTTCAACGAGTTTCTAGATGCGGGTAACCCACTCTTTCTGATCCCTGGTACTGAGCAGGTACGTTCAAATCATCACTTTACAAGCTTCGATAAATACTGACAGCGTGATCTATAGACTCGAGATCTACGTAAACCCTTTTCAGCTGCTGTCGATGCCTACCGTGAGATGCTACGACTCGAAGACGAATTAGCTACAAAGTCCCTCCGTTTGTCACCATTGGAGAAGTTGGCCACCAACTGCCCGCCATGTTTCGGACCCAAAGTCCCCGGAAAACGAGTTGACGAACCAGATATCATAATATGCCTTGATGGAAATTTCCAACATCGCCGTCATGCATCCGCAAGTGCTAGTTGGAGGGGTGAAAGTGGTGTTGTTCCTTCACTTTTCATTAGGCCCGAGCAGGTCAAGAAGTGGGAAGATAGAATGGGCATTGTACCTAATCGAGCAGGATCCTCAGCCAAAAAAGATGAGGTCATTGTATGTAGAGGCATTTCTACCGAAGCCGAGACGTGAGGTCTCCGCCACTCGTTTTGAGTTTTGAGTTCTGAGTTTTTCGATTTTCAGTTTTTCGATTTTTGACCCCGTTTTCGATTCCGACCTCGTACCACAACCTACCACAACCCACATCGCATCACAAGCACATGTATCGCATCATATGATCTCCATCTGAATTAAGAAGTTTTATTTTCATTTGCATTTGGATCGTTCTTCCTCTGTATTTATCTACATTCTATGTATATAAGTACTCTTAGCAAAGAACATATAGAGAGACGATTTAACGGAAACACGACCGATCTCGACATAGCTCAAAAAAGAGAGCGAGAGAGAAAACACAAAAACCCAATGGATTTGGGTTGCGCTTGGGTTAGAAGAATAGAGTGTATACAAATGAGAAGAACATGCAGAATTATGTAATGAAAAAAAGGGAAAAAAACGGGGGGAAATGATCGATAGGGCCTGAAGGCTTGCCAAGGCTTTGATTACAGACCAAGGCACCAGGTCTAGAGTCCAAGGCGTAGCTGGCCTAGATCAATTCATCTTCGCTTGTAGGCCCTTGTTTCAGCCCATTTCTCAATGAATCGGTCTTTTATCAATTAGCCAGGCCATCCAAATTCACTGCATTGGAATGTTCATTTTTCTCGTCTTTATATCTATAAACCATCTAGTTCTCCTATCAATCTCCCCTCCTTCTCAAAATCTACTAATCACTTTGCTCGTTCTCACACGCTGCTTGAATCATTTTCCTTTAGTACTTCAGTACACCTAAGAAATTTTTTCAAGCAGCTAAGTTTGATCACTTACTTCGTTTAAAATTCCATCCTCGCTTTTTTCGTTTGCATATGCTACCTGGATTGTTTTCCTTTTTTGATTTAGTACGCTTACCAAAGCCTTGGGACCTTGAATCAACAATCCAATCATCATCGCTCAGAGCATTCCAGGTACATTTCTATCTCCTTCCATTGTTTTAACCTGTGACACTTGCAAAAACTCCTGCTTCGAACCTTGAGCTCATCTCGACGCATAACCCTGAAGCTAGAGGTCGAGCAGGTGTCACAGACTTGAAACAATGGATGAAGTTATTAAGAAACCTAAAGATAAGTCTCTGAGTACCATCCCAGGAGTATCTTGAAATATTTTTCAGCTTCTCTCCCCCCAAGCTCCCATTAATTCAGTGACTTATCAAGTCATAGATATTGCATGAAATATGTTATACATCACTTAGTAAAGTTTCTCAACACACTGTTCTCCTCCACAATACCTACACTTGTCAAGCCAACACTTTTGTATCAGTATACATTAGGTCAATTCTCCTGGCTTAAACAGACCTGCAATGTGAGACCAACTACTGTAACCTGTAGCTTTGATGGTGTTGCAGATTAAGTTTTATATCATCATTCAAATGATGAGTATGGTGGCTACCTCACCTCTTGGATTCTGTACCAAAGCTGAGACACGAGGTCTCCGCAAGCCAAGAGGTCTCTTCACACCAATACATGAGGTCCCTGCATGCCAAGATGTGAGGTCTCCACACACCAACACATGAGGTCTCCGCAAGCCAGGACATGAGTTCTCCTCACATGTTTTGAGTGTTGAGAGTTTGGAAACCCAATTCTCCAACCTTTTCCGACCAGGTTTCCTGATTTTGTTCCAAACTCATTTGATGCCACTCAACCACTCACCATAATTCTTCATCCCCATTAAAGAAATCAAAGATTTTTGCATCTTCAATTCCTTTTTACTTTTTTCTTTTGGAATTTTACATCTCACATCTCTCCGCCATTGCACCACCACATCATGCTACACATCAATGACATTCCAGATGAATTCCTTGAACCTATTCTTCTTGGCTATTGCAAGGATGGTTTAACACAGTCCATGATGATCACTTGCCTTGGTAATGATCATAATATTTATACAACCTTGCGAACCCTGCAGCGGATTCTTCAAGACTTTGAACTCACCAACATGCCTGCATCAATGTCTCCTGAGCAGAAGGAACGTGCTTATCCTTTACTATTACAGTATCATAGACTTGGAAACACACGTATGGAAGCCCTGTGTGCTATCAACAATACTTATGACATTCCAATGAAAATGCATAATGTCCGCACCATGTCCAGGGAGTTGGGGATTGATTGGCGTCGTGATGATATACAACAAGGTCATGTCACTGTAGATCAGGTGGTAGATATATTACTTGAAGCAATAGAGGGTGAAGATCGACATGCTGGCTATCGTACAATGCAACAAAACCTTGCAGTAAATCATCATATCCGGATCAACCGTGATACTGTCTACCGACTGATGAAGTTGATTGACCCTGAAGGTGTTGAACTTCGCCGACATGGTGTTCTTAAGCGAAGAATATTCCATGTTCCAGGGCCCAATCATTTATGGGCTAGTGATGGGCACGATAAACTCAAGCCTTATGGTATATGTATTTATGGCTTCATTGATACATGGTCAAGGAAGGTTCTAAGTCTTCGAGTTGGGCGGACAAATAACAACCCACGAGTAGTTGGGCTGTATTTTCTAGAGCTTGTATTCAATGTAGGAGGATTCCCGGTCAAAACTTCCACTGATCATGGCACCGAAACTGGGGATATGGCTACATTTCAGGCTTTGATGACACACATCTACACCGGAGAGCCTCTTGAGGATGCTCTAAACCATCATCACTACACAACATCTACGCACAACCAGAAGATTGAATCACTCTGGTCACAGCTTATGCGAGCAAAGAATACTACTTTACGAGATGATATAAAACTGGCAATTGATACTGGGGTTTATAATCCCCTTGAACCCCTTCAGAAGTAAGTGACATTGAATGATTTCTGACTTTTTTAGTTTCAAATTTCTAACATGATAATATTACACTGTGGTAGGGCTCTATTTTTGCACCTCTGGATCCCTTTAGTTCAACGAGTGATGAATTCTTTCATGGCCACAAAGAACACATACCGCACCCGTAAAAATGTAGACTCACACCTCCCAACTGGAGTTGCACCTGATACATGTTTCTACTCACCTGAAAACTACAATGGTACTCAAGGAATCAATCCTGTACCACGTGAGGCTATCCAAGCAATGATTGAGGATCAGTACCCAGACCGTGTGGATCTTCTACAAGTTACTCCTCCTCAATTTTCTGTAGAAGTTTCCACTTTGATTCAGCGATTGGGGGTGCAAGAAGACCAAATTACACTCAACAATGTATGGCAGGTTTTTAACCGGGTGTTACCCTTGTTAAGACTCATTCAAGTAAATCTACATTTAGAAGGGTTTTTTTATGATGAGGAGTACAACTTTTATCCTTGAAGAAAAGGATATTTATCCATATAAAGTGGTCATGCTTTGATTTTGACTTGTACATGAATGGATGTGGTTGTGGAATGAATATAGATAACATTCTATATACTTTGTTGATTGAATATTGGCAACAAGACCACCACCTCTCTATTGACAAAGAAAAAGAAATGCTGGTAGAACAATTCAAACTTGAGGATTCAGATGCAATAAGTAGGTACCACTCCAGAAGTACAAGTTCTGGATGCTACTGTTCTTGTGTGACCCTGAGCATTGCACTATTTGAGACAAGTGTACCTAACAAATAAAGAGAATTTGAATAGTTGTATCACACTCCTGGCTCCCATCATATTCCTTTAGATATGTTTTAATCCTACAAATGTGCACAAACATTCCCAATGATTGATATGTTTCATTTCTATCTACATAGGCAATGTTTCTTTTTACACTTACTTTTTAAGGAGATGCAAATTTGGCTAAAGAAAGTTTCAACATAGTAGAAATCAATAAAGCTATGTCTACTTTGCTCTCAGAAACAGTAGAAAAACAATTTTTATTGAAGGCTCTAACAGAAACTATGATTTAATAGCTCATATATTCCCCCATCGGTTTGTTGCAGTGAAACCCAATTTTACAAGCCATTTTTTTGCAGATGTGAGCCCCAAATTCTCACACCAATTGTTGCATTTGTGCTGAGTTAAAAACATCTTCCTCCCATCAAAACCCAAATTTCCGCTGCCAAAAGATTTGCTGCATTGAAGAAACATTGATTAGAAAGATTCTTGTTGATAAAGGGCTGTAATGCACCACTTACTCAAGATCAATGAAAGCTGGGTCGGTAAGTGTACAACCCACACCTTGTAAATCACAAATGAAAGAACAGCCATTGTTTTCCTCCAAGTCTTCATGAACAAGTGCATGAAGCATTTCATGCGTCTGAGTACTTTGATCTGGCTTTGAAGTGAAGTCATTGTTTCCGACATATTTGACATACTCACCCTCAATCTTTTCTTCAAAGAGCCAGAAAGAAGTGCAATCATCATCCACATCCATCGGTTGTTTGGTCCTCGCAGCCTGAACAACCCAACTCTTTACAATCTAGTTTTCAAAGAACATGAATACAAAGTCAGGTTTTTCATTGATGGCAAATAAAAAAGGGTACACAAACCCTTAAGCTTTTGACTAGCTCCCTGTCAAGAGACGTGAATTTCTTGTTACACAAGACCTTTGATTTGAAACGATCAATCACAGATTCAGCATGGATATATGACTGTGATTGAACCTTATAGTATTCCAATGGGCAATCATCGCTTCAAGACTGTTTAGCAACAACATGATGGACATGATCATCAATTAGCAACTCTGCTTCGTAGCAGTTCATGTTTCGGCCAGATCCAATACATTCTCCTCTATCCACTCGGTAGGAGATTGGAGTTGATTTGAAGACTGTTTCATGATCCTTATTGATCAGTGAAAGAAGGTACCCTTCTCGCCAATTCAAGGTTACACAAACAGGGTACGGAAGACTTCGCTTAGCTGGACCACCAAGCTTATGTGTATCAGCAAAACTTTCTAAAGTCATCACTAGAGAAGAAATCATCGGAAAGCATGAGAACTGGTGCAGATGGGTTCTATAATAAAGATGGTGAACTCACATTCATTATTGAGTAATTGGCCTACCAGAACATCATGGACCCTAAGCGTTATTGAAGACAAATTTCTCACAGGATATTTGGAAACCTTACGCATTAAAACAAAATCAGAGACCTCATGAAGTTGATGTTGATATTGACCCGATCACTTACATTCGCGTGATTGGCTTTATCGACTTCTTCAATGGACTCCTCCTCTTTGGCATCATCAGGCAAACTCGCTTCCAGTTGATCTACTTCTACAGAATCGACTCGATTGTGAGTGTCGTTTTGGTGGTCTGGCTGTATCAAGTGATCTTGAGCTATCAAGCGATTGGGCTCTTCTGTTGAATCAGATGAGTCTTTGTTGGTAATTGCATTTGTAAGTTCAACTTCATCATCTCCTTCATCAGATAATTGATTCATTCGCTTGCGTTTTTGAGTGCGAGATCGAGAAGAGGTTTGTTCTGGCTCAGGAGACGATTCCGAGGTGTTGTTGGAATCACTTTCATCAGACACTCGCTTTCGCTTGCTCATTTGTCGTTTGGAAGACAGTTTTTTTGGCTCGGGAGATTCTGGTTGGAGGGCTACATATTTTTTCACATTGAATATCAGCCCAAATTTGGTCTTATGAAGCTTTTTTTCTTTCCGTGCAAGGACAAGTGATGATGCCATGGACTCTTTTGAAACTGAAACCCCGTTTTCGGCGATACTACAGTACTTAGGTGAAAATTCTTGAGGAAGTCGGTGTAATTTCTTCAGCTGATCTTTGGATGGGAATGACGAGGCATCGGCTTCTTCTTTGTAGTATGCATAAACATCGGACCCAAGCCGCCAGAACCAATCAGAGCTGTTCAGGTTGACTTTAAATTTACGAGGTGTGAGACCATGATTGACGTTAGACTTGCCGATTCCACTGAGGTAAGTAAAATTCATTGAAATCTCGACTTCTGGATCTTCTTCCTCTATCGCCTCATCTGTTTCTTTCTTTCTCCTGCCCTTTGGCTGACCAACAGTTCGCCTTCCTGATTGAGACGCACGAATAGAACCTTGAAGTTGTGAATTGAAAAGGTTTGAAGAACTATGAGACACGTAAGGAGTGACCCGAGATTGAGTTGTACCGATGGAAAAGGAGTTGGACTGCGTATTCAAAGGTGGTTTAGCGAGTAATCCACCTTGAAAAAGCTCTTGTGGAAGATTTGACGCGCTGAAAGGTGGATTTATTGAAGAAGCTGGAACCGCCGCGGACGACATAAGCCTTGGATTTTGATTTGAGTTCTGATCATCAAGGCCCTTCTTGCATGGTTGGCATTGAGCGTCAGGAGAGTCAGGAAGAAAAGGAAAACACTTCCCGCAACCTGCACACTGAGGTATTTGGCAGGGTCCAGAGTCAGGATTTTGCTGTCTCGATTGGCATCGATCACATATGGATGTTGTCATTCTGGCAAATTGATTGCCACATCCTCGACATACTATATCGTTATGCATGTCAAATTTTCAGATAAGAACGAAAGATTTAGATTTAGATTTAGATAAACGAAAAGATTTATTTTATTCAACAAATTTTGAGGGAAGAAAGTCACAAGAGAACAGATTTATTTTATTGAACAAATTTCTGAAGATACCTGAGCTCGCGATTTAACAGGTTTTCATGATACAAATATGTTTGAATGAACATACCAAAAAGAACAGACTATTTACGTAAAGACTAGCAAACAACAGCGGAAGGAATAGAGAATGGAAGTCGACATAAAGTTACGTATTTCTTCCTACCATACATAAAACTTTAATAATCTCTCGAGTTTGACCTTGAAAGACAGAAGATGTACTGTTGAATTGATGGGTGGTGGATGGGATCCTAATCAAAAAAAAACAAGTCGTTCCAGGTGCTATAATTCAATTCTTTCAAAAACTTCACAAAAATCAAAAAAATCGAAAAACTGAAAATCGAAAAACTCAAAACTCAAAACTCAAAACGAGTGGCGGAGACCTCACGTCTCGGCTTCGGTAAGAGAGGGACTTATACCTTATACCACATCTTTGGCGGATGAGCCGGAAACATTTGGCTGGGGACTTTTTCAACGCGCCATATCTGTGGATCCTGCAAACAAATGTCCTTGGGACCAAAGAAAAGAGCTATGCGCCTGCTTAATCTACACACATGTGTGTAGCCTACATCTAATTTGATTGAGAACTCACGGAGCAATGCAATTGTGAAGTTTGCAAAAATCACCAAAATCGGACAGAAAGCTGTCCAGCCTGTCAAAAGCTCACACCAAACGCGCTGAAATGTTACACAAAAACAATTTTTCAAGTCGGTTTTTAAGGGCTTCCCTGGCGGCAAAGAAGGGATTTGAAAAGATGTGCGTGTGTAGGATGATCAGGCGCAGAGGACTTTTCTTTGGTACAGAGGATATTTGTTTGTAGGCTATAGAGATATAGAAGATTGAAAAGGTGCCCAGCCAAATTTTTGCGGGTCATGCTCCACAGTTCCCTATCAGGTATAAGTCCCTCTCTCGACTACTC